CCAACAGTGAATCAGGGTTCCAGTTTCTCCACAACCTCGCCAGCATTTGTTGCTTGCTGTACCACAGCTCTTCTAAACCCAGCCTGCACTTGTGGCAGTTCTCTGCTGATATGCTGGTCAAGTTGTTTTTGGATTACGCTTTTCAGCAGAATCTTGTTTGCATGCAGTATTAATGCTATTGTTCCATAATTTCCACACTCTGTCTGGTTACCTTTCTTTGGAAATGGGAATAAATATAGATCTCTTCCAGTCAGTTGGCCAGGTTGTAGTCCTACAAATTTCTTGGCATAAATTAGTAAGCACATCCAAGGCAGCATCTTTTTGTTGAAATATGTAATTTAGTATGCCATCAGTTCCTGAGGCCTTGCTTTTTTGCCAATTCTTTCAGAGCAGCTCGAACTTCTCCCTTCATCACCACAGGCTCTTGCTCATGTGTCATGAAATTATTCTGTGTCAGTCTATTCTTTTTGGTACAGTGAACCCCTTCCATCTTCTTTTAATATTTCCTGGATTATTTAATAGTTTATGAAAGAAAAAATACTTAACAAAAGGAAACCCGAGGTTGAGTGACTTCAGAAGTCTCATGGTGACAGAATCAGGACAAGAACACAGATCTCCAAAGTCTAGCATCTCGGAAGCTGAGATTTTTCTTCTACACTAAGAACTTCACATAAGCACGATAAAGTATTCTGAGATTCTTATTCTTTTTAGAGCTAGCGACAGTTTGTTGTGATTCACACAGTCAAACGCCTTTGCATAGACAATGAAACACAAATAAAGATTCCTCTGGTAATCCCTGCATTTAGCCAAGATTCATCTATCATTAGCTACAACATCCCTATTACCAGGACCTCTTCTAAACCTTGTCTGCACTTCTGGCAGTTCTCTGTTGATGTGCTTTTCCAGTAGTTTTTGAATAATCTTCAGTAGAATCTTGCTTGCATGTGATATTAATGATATTGTTAGAGAATTTCCACACTCTCTCATATCACCTTTCTTTGGAATGGGAACAAATGTAGATCTCTTCCAGTCAGTTGGCTGGGTGGCTGTCCTACATATTTCTTGACACAACTTGGTGAGCACAACCAGGGCAGCATCTGTTTGGTGAAATACATCAATTGGTATACTGTCAATTCCAGGGGCCTTGTTTTTGCCAATTCTTTCAGAGCTGCTTGAACTTCTTCCTTCATCCCCACAGGTTGTTGCTCATACGTTGTTTCATGAAATTCTTCTATGTCCACCAATTCCTTTTGGTACCATGACTCTGTATACTCTTTTCATCTTCTTTTAATACTTCCTGGATCATTTAATATTCTGCTCAAA